TTTTGACTATACTCAGGTTTGAACTCAGGGTTTCACACTTGCTAGGCAGGCACTCTACCACTTGAGCCATGTCTCCAGCCCCAAGCCCTACCATTTCTAAGATGATAGAGGAAGACAGATTGCTAAAATTCAGTCTGTATAGAATGGAGATGATACTAGATTCACATACATTTTAAAACATCAATCTGTTTTTAAGATGGTGTGTTGCTACTAGCTAAATATTTCTAAAAAAGACACACCTTCGCAGCATAAACCAACACAGAGGGTAATATTAGCTGTGTTGCTTTAGTCCACTGTTAATAACTGCATAGACAGCTGACTGAATTCATTGAACAATAAAATTTGGAGTTCTGATTTAGAGACAGATAAAACTTGAAATGAGCGCAAATTAAGTTTTAAATTACCAGCCTTCAGTGCTTGGAGCATAGCTCAAATGCTAGAGCACTTGCCCAACATGCACAAGGCCCTGAGTTCAACCTAGTACCACCAAAAATAAAAGTCTGCGGACACTGTCCTCCTTGCTGAGGTATCTTTTGTCTTCTACTTCTGAGTCCCTTCCTTGACAGAACTATTTGGGGACTACTTATTTAGCCTACATTATAAACTGTGGTTACCATTCTCAGTAGATTATCTTAACAGTTTCTCAAAGTGACTCAGGGAAATTATATCTTCCTTATTTGGGATATGTTTGTATACATTGTTTTATTCATAGCCACATACTCTCTTGAATTTTTTAACTTGAGTTTCTTCATCTACCTTGAAATAATGTTGTAACTAAACCTATAATTTACTTTTAAGCTCTTTCTTCTGATAAACTTATCTATTCATATTGGGTCTAATTATAGCTCAGGATGTAAGCATGTGTATTATTCATCTGAATAAGTGAGCTTGTCTGGCAGCAAAAGGCTGTTGTTACCAAAGCTTTCTTGTCATCAGGGCAGACTCTATCCTGTCTGTGCCTCATAGCCACATTCAGGATGATTTGATTCATCTTTTTTTTTTTTTAATACAGCAGACCCTTGGTATCCATGGGTATATGGTTCCAAGGAGACTGCTGTTGAGGAAAAACCATGATGCTCAGTATGCATAGAGTTCAGTACTGTGTGCAAAAGATGCTGGATTCATCTTTCCATAACACCACCAACTTCTGCTAAACACATCTCACATTTTCACTTTATCAGGTAAACTTAGTATATTCCCTGTTAGTTTGCTTTGGGGGCACTATTTGCTTTTGGGGAGGCATATATTCCTAAAATTAAGGGCAGGGAATCACTCAGCAGATTACATAATGATTTAAACGCAACTGATAGTAATGCTGGGCTGACTGAGAACTTCTCATCAAGTGAGCTGTGAAAAGCACATTCAGGAATTTAAAATGTTTGGTTTTGAATTTCTTTTCATTTTTTTATGTATTTTTTGGTGGCAGATGGCCAAAATCATGTGTAATTAATCTGCAGATACGGTGGAATGACTTTCAGAGAAATCAAACACTTGAAATGAAAAACAAAGCAGAGCTCACTTTTATCTCTACATCTATTTCCCTCCATCTCCACACTCCACTTACCTCGTGTTCCATGCACATTCACTATCATAAATTTAAGTATATCTTTCCAGTGCATTCCTTTGCATTGCTGGGAATGGAACTCAGCGTATTGTACATGTAAGCAAGCACTCTACCATTGAACTACATCCCTAGCCCTACAGTCCGTTTCTTAAAAGACTTTGACATAGATGTTTACCTATAAACATTGCATTTGCGTAGTAGGATGACCTGGGTTTTGTTTGGTTAGTTTTTTTATTTTGGCATGTGGTGCTAGGGTTCAAATCAGACCCTTGCATGTTACGCAAGTGCTCTACCACTGAGCTAAACCTTCAGCCCTGGCTCAGTTTTTAATTTATACAGTAAGTTCACACTGTACGCTACAACATGCTTTTCTCACATAGCATTTTCATAGACTTTTTTAACATAATTTTTCTTTATGTAAAAATTTAATATATACAGAAGACCATTAAGAACATATCTAATGCCATGTAAATAGGTTAGAAACAGGTCATTCCATAACTAGAACCACTGATTTGTGTGCTGCCCCTCCAACTTCTGTACCCACCCAGCAAGCCACTCTTCCAAACTTTTTTCTTACATAACTTCTTGCCTTACCCCATATTTATGTGTCCCTCAACCATATACTCTCTTATTTGCTTGTTTTTAAGCTTTGTAGACAGTACCATATTGAATACATTCTTTTTAGATTTGCTTTGTTATTCCATGTATTCTTAGGATTTAGTAATTACATTCTATGTTTTTTACTGCCGTGTAGTGAAATTGAGTAAATTTATCCATTTTCTGTCAGCAAACATTGTGTTGCTTTCAATTTTGCTATCACAAATAGTTCTTCCACCAGCACTCTCATACATGTCTTCTGATACACACAGATGAAAGTTTCTGTGGGGTAAATACTAGGTGTGTACTTCCTGTGTTGTAAAATAGTATCTTCAACTTAAATAAGTGCACCTTCTTTTTTAATACATGTTTTACTTTTAATTGATACAGTAATATACATATTTATGGGGAACATTGTGACATTTTGGTACTTGTGTACTATGTATAGTACTAAGATCACAGTAATAGACATATCTATTAACTGAGATATTTGTCATTTCTTTTTGTTGGGAGCATTCAAAAATCCACTCTGCTAGCTCTATTGAAATACTCAGTTATTTTCAACTATAGTTATCCTACTGTGCTATATGTAGTATAGGAGAAGTTGTTCCATTTATCTATCTGCACCCCTGTATGCACTAACCATCTTCTCTCCACTCTTTACCACACCGTTCCCAGGCTCCAGTAACTATTCTACTCTCTACTTCTGTGAGATCAACTTTTTTAGCTTCCACATATGAGTGAGAACATGCCTGATTTATTTCATTTAGCATAATGTCCTTCCGTTCCATCCATGAAACTGAAATGACAGAATTTCCTTCTTTATAACCTTCCTGTAGTGTTATTTTTTTCTTTTTTATTAATGCATATTAATTGTAATAAGAGGTTTTGTTGTGATTATTTCCAAGGGTGTATGTAATGTACTTTGATCAAATTCATCACCTCTTTACTCTTTCTATTCCCTTCCCTCCCTTTTAAAATAATTTAATGGGTTTCAGTTTATTTTCATACATGCATATGAATACATTTTCCAATACTGTTGGCATACTGAAGTGATCTAATATCCAGCTACTTTGTTGAACTCTTTTACGAAGTTTAATAAGTTGTATATAAATTTGGGGGGGAGGGTTTCCTGTAAACATAAATACTGTAAATACTAACAGTTTTATTATTTCCATCTCAAACCTTGTACCTTTTTTGCCTTGTATTTTTCATACTTTAGTGAATATGATCTCTAATACAGTAGTCATTAAAGTGAAAAAAGCAAGCATCTTTGCTGTTCCTCAGTGTAAAGGAAGTGCTCCTAATATTTTACTACTGAATATAATAGTTGCTGTGATGTCTTGGAGCAGATGTCCTTTATCAGGTTAAAGAAGTTTACTTCTATTTGTATTTTGCTAAGAGAACTTTTTGTTTGATTTTTAAATTATGAATGGCTATTACAGCTTATTAAAGGCTTAGTATGGTGACCCATGCCTATAATTCTAGCACTCTGGAGGTTCAGATGGGAGAATTGCCACTTTGAGGCCTGCCTGGGCCACATAGCAGGACCCATTTTGGGGGGAGGGAAGCCTATTACTAAGTCTTTTCTCTGCAGCCATTGAGGTTATCATTTTATTTTCTACTTTAAAATATTATAAGGTAAAATTTTCCTGTTCGACCATCCTTGTATTCTTGGAATAATCTCAACTTGGTTATGATAAATTTTCTTGTAATATGTTACTCAGTAATGAAATGTTGTAGATAAAAGCTAATTTCAAAATAAGAAAAAAGCTAAATTTTCATGACAATAAAATCTTTGCCAAGCACTTTAATAAAATTGCCCATATTGCTACAGGGTATGAGGGTTTCTAGCTATTAGATGTAGGTAATAGCTTAATGAAGCAGAAACACCACTGGAAACCTTTCAAACCCAGGACCTTGCACATGCTAGGCAAGTGCTTTACTACTGACCTAAACCTCCAGTCTCTGGAAAGCTAACTTCTTGTCTCCTTTGCCCTGCTGTTCACCTGAGAGAACTAATACAATTCACTTGACTCATTTCTTGACTCATTCATTGACTTTTTATTTTCCTCAGTAAATTTCTCTGAGATTCAGAGTCATATGTTGGCTACTTATAGCCATGTGACTTCAGTTGCTTTGCTATTAACCTACATTATGTATTTACTAGGCACTTAGGACAATGCACAAGAAGTTACTTAAGGAATTTCTATTTTAGAGAGAGACGGAAGAATTGATGATTCGTTTTTAAATACAAAAGGATATAGCTTATCTACAGACCCTGGTGGTTATGCTATAGGGTTGCATTGGGGCACAAGGGAATCTTTAGAGTGAGTGAAAAAAAGGAAGAGAATTCTGATTGGATATGGTAGTTAAGCTGAGTCTTCTGAATGATGGTCATCGATTGAGCATCCCAAACCTTATCTGTGTTTTCAGTTGTTAGCAAAGTGTCTAGACTAGTTGTTCCCCAGTGCCCTTTCTAGCTTTGAAATTTTATCTTTTTGACCCTAGGTCCATATCACCCTTTTCAAGACTCCACAAATAATTTCATATTTAATCAATCGGTGCTCCTGCATCTGCCTGTGGTTCTTGGAATCTTTTGTTCTATAGGCTTAGAGTCATGAGGGGCATAACAGAATCTTCTTGTTGCTGTTTAATTAAGCAATACCAGCGTAAGTCACGTAAGGAATAAGGTGATAATGATGTGTGAATCATAAATAGAATTAACCTGGTTATGTTTTTACAGAATTGCTCAGTTTTTTGCTACCATAAATAGATTTTTTAAATTCCAAACTTTATGTAACTTCTAAGCACATTTCATTTGTATGTCTTATTTCAGTGCTGGACCCAAAGGAGACAACATTTATGAATGGAGGTCAACTATATTGGGACCCCCAGGATCTGTCTATGAAGGAGGGGTGTTCTTTCTTGACATTACCTTTTCACCAGACTATCCGTTTAAACCCCCTAAGGTCAGTATGAAGTATTCACCCATTTTTAGCAATATGTATTATTACATGTGCATATATATATTTTTTTACATATACATATCTAAGAATATGTATCTGGCTGTTGTGTTAGCATAGTCAACTCACCAAGGCTGCTAATGTATAAGAGGAAACAGAGCATGAAAAGTTATAGATTGATCCCTTGCCCAAGCTTTTTACTTACATTTCATTACTTTTTCTCATCCTTTCTCATTGTCTCCTTTCTGTGGTGTATGTTGCAATGTAACAGAAAACATATTTTATGGGTAGAAATGGGGTATTGAGATTGGACCAGGACCAGCCCAAAGAGCCAGAGCCAAGTTCAAGAGCTAGACTTAAGGACAGAATAAACCTCACAAGGCAGGTTTATAGTATCAGCTATGAAGCTGTGACTTTTGATTGCCTCCACCATTCAGCTCCCCACGTGAAGCACATATGCACTAGAACAGAAAATATGACCAATAGAGACTTAGAAATCATACCAAGAAATATTTATGGGGCTGAAGGTATAGCCCCATAGTACAAGCTTAGTATGCACATGGCTCTGGGTTCAATCCCTAGCACTCAAAAAAAAGTTTTATAATAACCCATTAATAAAGCTGGTTAATTAATGAAAAGTCATTGACTTTTTTACATCCATGTTTAAAGGAAGAACAAGAGTGCAGTGAAAGCAGAACAGAAGAACTTTCAGTTATTTAAGATGAGATTATATGCTTTGAGAAGCTTCACATTCCTGTCTATTGCCTATAAGTCAGTCATTTGACTGTTTTAAAACTATCATCTCCACTAGCATTTGTTCCTCTGGCAGAGGAAAAGACCCTGAGGATGCTGGCTGTATATGTTAGTCACCAGAAAGGAGTTCTAATCTGTCTCATACTTAACTTCTCAATGCGAACATAAAACTTCATTGAGTTGTAGGTTGGAGTAAACAATTTTAAAAAGCAAGATCGAGACCTGACCTTCAACATGACTTTCTAGAATTCCTTCCACCTTTTTTCCCCCTCTGCCTTCCTTTCTTCCTTCAGTTCCATTGATATTTGGATAGTGGACACCAAACCAAACAGCAGTAACTACAGTTACCCTTATTGACTGATGAGGAAATCAGCTCAGATAAAATAAGTAACTTCCCCAGAATTATGCAACAACCTACTGTGGCATCAGGAGTTGAACCTAGAAAGTCAGATCCCCAAATTCTTGCTCCTTACTGAATTATACAATATTTTTATCCAAACTGACAGAGGTGGTGGTACTGGTTACCACCTAGAACTTACATTTAGTAAGTTTTCCATGATAGCACCATAGTAAACCTAATACGTATTTTCTCTTTTGCTGGGTGAGAACCTTTTTATCTTTTGTTCTACTTTTGACCAGCCCTTAAGTCATCTGGAATATCTGCTGCTGTCCTAGTAATGTGGAGACCTTTCTCTTGACAGCCTCTGCAGTGAAGGATGTGAAGAGTAAGTGGAGGGAAAACAGATCAGGTAGTTGTGCTGCTTATAAAATTGGTATGGCCTGTTCAGTGAAGTGGACATTTTAGAAAATGTGTGAACTTATTCACATTGTGCATGACAATTTTATAGATTAAACAAGGCTAAAATAGAGAGCTAATAAGTTGGATAAAGAAGTTAGTTGGAATGGAAGCTCTGATGGAATGGATGGGTGAGCCAAAACTAACAGGATAGAATCTATATGGCTAAATAAATATGCAGTATTTCACTGGGAATCAGAAAAAAAATCACAATGCAAGATAGGAAAGGTATGCCTCCTCTGTTTTCATGTAAAGAGAATTTTAGGGCTCTTGACTTACCAAAAACTGGGAACTTGAGGTTCTTGTACCCATAAGGAGACATATTTAGAAGAGCAGTACCTATAACTCTGAGCTAATCATGTTGTGTCTGAAATGCCTTATTCACTTCTGGACTCTTCACTTTGGGAAGAACAAAAAGGAATGCCCTGTACTGGGCATCAACTATGCTAACTCATTTCTTCTCTAATAAAAGGAACATCACAGCTTTACTATGGTGTTCCCCTTTCACAGATGGGAAACTCAGATGAGGCTTAGAAAGTTTTAAAAGAAAATACCACCAGGAATCTACTGAGTGACTGACCATGTACTTTCCACCTAATTATACACAGTCATCCTGGAGAGACTTACTAGTAAAAATAGGCATGAAAGAAAGGAATGTGGTATCTGTCCTCGGGAGTGCCAGAGACTGTGGTGTAGATTAGGGTTAGACTTTATTTTGAATGGCTAGATGGGACAAAAATGGTAAAGGGGTGGGAGGAGTGTCACAGGGAAGTAGATTTCTATTCTTTATGAGGAAAATCTGACCTACCCTTGAACAACCCACTTTAGAATAATTCTATTTCTGGGACTTCTTCCCTTTATTTATAGTATTCAAGGAAAAGCTGAATTATTATTGGGAATATTACCAGAAAAAAAACAAATAAACTTAATAATCCTCACTGAGTGTGAATCCTCATTAGACAACCTCTAAGGAAAAAGAAAAATCAAAGTCTGGGAACTGGAATCACAATTTAAAGGTACCCTTAATAGAAACCTGTTTTTCAGTGAATTATCATCCCTAATTAATCAGTTTTAGAACTGGATTTGGTAAGCAGATAACCTTACTCTAGAGAGAAAGCTGCTAACCAAAACAAGACTTTTTTTATCATTAATAGTTTTGAAATACCATATCCATGCCTTTCTAGTCTGCTACCACACATAGTCCACATTCGGAGTTGTCTAGTTATTTTCTCTGCTGCCGTCACCTTCTCCTTTTTTGCAAATCAGCCATGCATTTTGATTTATGAAACATTCCCCGGTGCACTGAACAATAAACCAGGGAAGCCATAGATGTCAGAGAAAATTACTGATGAGAGTAAAGGCTCACAGATAACCAATCAGACTTATCTGGTAAGTCTGACTGATTATCTGTGTAAATATTCATAGCATAAAATTAGCCCATAGCATGACTGGATTCATGATTTCTTCAAATTCTCATAGTTGGAACTCTTAACCACCACTTTTAAACAGTATGCACTGTGGAGCAGAAATACAGCCTATAGGTCAGTGGAGTGATTGAAATTCCTTTTCTTACTATAGGAACTTTTTGGGATGAGGGCTTCATCAATTTGAATACCACATACTCCAAAATCAGAGTGCTTAACCACTGTATATATTGTAAATATATGTTTAATATTATGATCAGATATCTATTCATAAAACACGATTGCTTTGTATTCCTGGGGATTGCATTTTCTTACTCATATTATGAATACTTCTATGTTCAAAATCTACATTTCTTATTTTAAAAGTTTAATGTATTTTAATCTTCCAGTCTACATGTTTGTTACAGAATAAAAACCAATTGCAGGGAATGAGAAGGGGAAAATATTACTTAAGATTTAATCCCCCCAAACTAACTATTCATGCCATTTTGGTGTATCTCTTTTGAGATTTTTGTTATCTGTATATATATTATACACATACAAGTATGCATACACACACATTCCTTTTCCCAGAATTGGGCTCCTACTCTCCATGACTTCATAATTACTCTTTTACCTAACATTGTATTTTCCCCCAACAGTACATATTATTCCAGTAAATATAGAATTGTATTATAATTATAGAGGCTATATAATCTTCCATTGTATAAATACACTAAAATTTGATCAGTTTCCTGTGGCTGAAGATTTAGGTTTTATCAATACTTGTTATCATCAGTGATGTGATGGACATCCTTATAGTTACATATTTTATATACTTGTATGATTATTTGTTGTCATGATATTTGTGTGTAAAAGAGTTTGCACATATCTGTAGAGTTTTTGATAAAGGTTGGCAAATTACCCTCCAGAAACATAGTATCAGTTCACATCATAACCATCAACATATGTTGCGATAGAACTTCCCTACAGTATCCTCAGATTAGAGGATTCTGGAGCCTTCCCACCTCCAACCACAGTACTGAAGTTTTTTTAACTCAACCTCATGCTTGTGAGGCAGGTGCTCCACCACTTGAGCCACCGCCCCCAGCCTTCTGAGTCTTTTTTATCTCTACCAGTCTAATGTATGAAAAGTAATACCTCATGATCGTTTTAATTTACATTAATTCAACCACCAGTGAGATGCATGTGAATAACTTTCATTTTCATGTATACTGTTGTCCGGTTATTTTTCCTTGTGAAACTATTTTTTCCTGAAAGTCCCACACCAAATAAAATTAACGTGTATACTTGAATAATTCAGAAATGTAATAATGAGGTATGCTATACTTGTGTGTGTATATTAGCAAAAACAGTGTGAAGATAATTGTGATACCCTGCCTCTAATGTTTTGTGTTCCAGAAATTCTCATGACATACTTCCTAACTAAGGAGTCATGTTAGTTAGGTAACAGGTCAGATATTTGTTCTTACAGTAGAAATGCAAAGCGGTCTTTAATTTGGCTATTTTTGCTTTCTTGCGGATCTGGACCTTGTATACAAAATAATTGAGCATTCTAGACCAATTTAAGATGATGTTAATAGGAGAGTTAAGCATGTTTGTCATTTAGTTTTAGTTTTTTAAATTTATTTTTAGTATCTCAAGCAACCTGTGCACAAATCAGGCATGTTGTGTCAGTGTTCATATCTATTACTAGAAAACACCAAGAAAGTAAAAAAATTACACATACACATAAGTATCTGTGTAAAAGAAGTTAAGAATAATACCATACAGCTTTAATATAGTTTCATTACGATTTTATCAAGTAGGTCTTAAAATAAATCTTTAAAGAATAATCCAGAGAATATCTCACATTTTATGAGAGTCAGCAGTGTGTCCTGCAGCTTCATCCTAAACTAGGTAATTGTTAGGCGCTCATTTTTATTGTTGCCCTGCTGCTGCTCAGAGAAAAAAGCTGAGTGTGTCTCTCAAAGTTTTCAAAAAAAGCAGTGATTTACATGTGTATACTCACCTACCCACTCATTTACTCCAGCTCTGAATAGAGAACACACAGTTATCATGGAATAACATGAATTAACTTGTTTTAACTGGAGTTCATACATTCATTTAAAATTTGGTCATGGATAAAGTCCTTTTATATGTGTTTAATTGCTTATTTGACATCTCCAGTTGAATGTCTAATACTTATCTTAAATTTAACAAGTCTAAAACATGATTACATACCTTCAGCCCACTTAGACCGGACCTTTGCAAAGGATGTTCTTCTACAGAGAAGTTATGTGAACAAGAGACTAGGTTAAGACATTCAGAGGTTTGGGAAGTGAGGAACTTGTTTGAAATTGGGACCCAGAAAAGATGACAACTCAGAGGTGACTTTTCCAAGAAAAAATTCTCAGATTTACACTGGTGACACCATCTGCATATAGGGGTTTTCTGAAGAAAGGAGGAATAGGTTATCTCTTCAACTCGAAGTCTTTGGTATCCCAGATATGAAAGGTAAGTGACCTACTCATTAGTCCCAGAAAACAATGAACACTGGAAACTCTGGGTAGAAAGACCATGAGTCACACAAATGAGTAGTCTTTTTAAAATTTATTTTTATTAGTGTTTATTAATTGTACAAATAATGGGTTTAATATGACATTTTTGTAAATGTATCTAATGTACTTAGATCATACTCACTTCCCTCCTACTCCTCCTGGTCCCGTTCCTTTTCCCAAGGAATTGGAAGGAAAGTCATGTAAAGAGGAAAATCTTCTTTAAAACTAAGTCAAAGAAGCTTCAGATTTGGCATTTTTTTAACCTTATAGAAAGGCCCTTCATGGAACCAGATCAAGATATGGAACAGATACCCAATGTTGGTTGTCTATAAATTTTAAAATAAATCATATTTTATTGTCCACTTGAGAAATGGGAGAGGAAATAATATTCCACATATAATAACATAATTATAATATTCTCCATTTAAATGTATACCTGCTTGGATAGATGTGTGTAATGCTAGTCATTTTGTTCAAACCTAGATGGAGTAGTCAGGTCTGAGTTCATTTTTAAGACTGCTCACTAAATATCAGTCCCTTTATGGCAAGTGATCAAGTTGCCTTTATCTCCCTCCCCCATCCTCTACCTTAGAGTTTGAGCTGTATCTCTTGATAAGGCAGCAGTCTTTTTAGATACTTGCTCAAACAAGTCCATGGAAAATGAGGCAGGGAGAGGGGAATGTTCTCAGCTCCCAGCTAGCCAAGATCAGTGTCAGTATATAATTATCATTTGTCACTGAGTTAGAGAAAAGATATGACCAACCAGCCTTTTGTAGGTATTACACCTTGTATAAAATAAAGAGAAACAAAGTCAAAAGTAAAGGTGGTAAATAAAATTGATCTAGGACTCATATGGATATGCTGTTCTAAGCTATCAGGTACATTTTTGTTATAGTATTAATATGTGAAGCAATTAGGCTAGCAGAGACCTACCACATTTTCTTATAAGGTGACTGCATTTTGAAATCTCTGTTTTAAGGCTAATTTAAAAGCAGATGTGTCCTAAGTAAGATAAACCTTACGAATATGGATACAGGGAGAATAATTAAGAGTTAATGCAATGTAGTCCAGGCCAGGAAAGAATTAAGGCTAAGCCGTGAGAGTAAAAACAAAAGCAGTAATACATGAATTCTTTTTTCATTTCTTTATTCAGTGCATATATACCATGCAGCAGTTTAGGTACCAAACATAAAGAGGTGAGTAAGAGAATGCCTCTTGAATATCAAGATATGGTAAAACGGGAGCTGATGGAGTGGCTGAAGCAGTAGGACAGCAGTCCTAGCAAGGGTGAGGGCCCCAGTACCGCAAAAAAAAAAAAAAAAAAAAAAAAAAAATGATAGAACAGGGTTTTGGCAGAATTGGCATTTTGATTGAGATAATTATGTTTTGTGTCGGGTGTCCTTTCCCTTGTGATAAACAAAAATGTCTCCAAATGCTGCCAGACATCCTCTGAAAGAGGAAGAGGGAGGTCATACCTGGTTGAGCACTCTATCTTAGCAGCAGTGTCCATATCTACTAGCAACTAATTAGAGGCATTTATGAGGACTCTGGTTTCTGATCTGAATAATGAGGTGAGAGTGTGTTGCCTGTGAGGGACTTACAGGACATCTAGGTGGGAAATGTTCAGAAATGTTTCAGCTGGCAGCTTTACAGGTCTGGGGTTAGGTGAATGTTGTGAGCTACTAGAAATATGAGACAATTTCCCTATCATGGGCATATAGCTATGCTATACTCCCAACTTCATTGACTGGCCTTTTCCCTGCATCCCTACGAGCCCTGTGTTGCCTCAGATCTGTTATCTCTAGCAGCCCAATGGCAGGGAAACAACATGTAATTGTAATTTTTCTTACTGAAAAGAAACCTGTGCTCCAGGACCTCTTCATACTCTCCAAACTTGCAATTTAGATGACATCAAATTCTTTTGTATTTTCTATTTTATTTTCATCATAGAAAGAGAAGATTTAACAATCTGCACACAGAAGAAGCAAATAATTGGCATCTTAAATACAAGTTCAAATAATACTCAGTACATAGGCCAAATTTTGCAAAGATAACTATATAATCTAAGAATTAAATATCTTCTCCTATTGATATTTCCTTTTAATATGAACATGCTCCCTTTCTGTGTCATTTTTATAAACTTCAAACTTTAAAGTCATATCATAAAAGCTAAAATGCGTGTGCTTATTTGTAAAGCCAGACTTAAGAATGTGCAGACTTTCTTTGCTGACATCTAGTTACATTGCACAACTGTTATTTCTTAGCTTTATTTAAACAGAAAATTACTGAAAAAAGTGTAGTAGAATAGAAAAATAAATTATGACATATTCATATAATGAAATATGTAACAATGAAATAGACATAGAAGAATTTGCAATATGACTACCAAAAATATATCAAAAGAAAAAAGCCACAAGAGTACTGAAGTATATAGATGTATGATTCCATTTACATAAATTCAAAAAACAGAAAGAAAAAACAGGAAAAACTAATGTATAAACCAGGCATGTTGGCACAGGCCTGTAATCTCAGCACTCAGGAGGCTGAGGTAGGAAGATCATGTCTTCAAGGCCAGCCTTGGCTACAGAGTGAGTTTAAGGCCAGCCCAGACTGTGTAACAAAACCCTGTCTCAAACTTGACACCCCCCACATACACCAAAAAAAATAATAATGTGTAGAAGTAGGAGTCACAAGGGAGATTCTGGGGTGCTAGCTATATTCTGTGTCTTATTGTAGGCAGTAATTAGGTACATTAATTTTGTAAAAATTTATCAAGTTATATGCTGACTTGTACACTTTCCTTTATATATATTTCAGCTTTTCAGTAATCCCCATTTTAAAAAGCTCTGTATGATTATATTTAGGCAAGGTCATAGCCATCTTATGAAAATTGCTGCTTTTAACCTAAATGTCAGTCTTTTTTTTTTCCTGTTAAATATCTATTATTTTTTATCGCATATAAGATCTTTTGATTCACTTTTGACCAGTAGATTAGCTATCTATCCGGCTATTTATGTTATCCATAGCTTTGATAAGCAGCTCTTTTATGTCTACTCAAACCACTGGTAAAATATTGAAAAAGGGCTAGTCACTAATCATCCCCCTATAGGGCTGTTTTGTGTCAACTTAATTTATTTGGTGCTATGGTTTGAATGTACCCACCAAAATTTAGGCTGAAATTTAATCCCCATTGTGAGATATTTAAGAGGGTAGAAACTTAACCAGGTATGGTATTTGGAAGTGAGACCTTTGAGAGATAATTAAGATTAAGTAAGGCCATAAGGGTAGGGAACTAATCCAGTGAGAAGTGTGGCTTTATAAAACAAGGAAGAAAGACAATGTGAGTGAAGGTGTGAGCCTTCACCAGATGAAGCCCCTGAACCTCCCAGTCTCCAAAACCATGAAAATATAAATTTTTCTTTATAAATTCCCCTATCGCAGATGTTTTGTCACAGCAGCAGAAAACAGACTAAGACATTTGATCATTTAGCCAGACTGTTAGAATTGCTGTCAAGCCTATTTTGCATCTGTCACACTGGAATGCCATTCAGCCTGGAATTCTCTGTGCCTCTAAGGATGTACTCAGAATGAAGCTTGCAACAGCCCAGTTTTCTTTTGGACCATACTGTTTACAATCTATTTGCTCATAAATAATAGTTCCCCATAAAACTTGAACAACTGCCAGGCTGGTTCATTTGTTTTGGCATTAGGCCAGTGCCATTGACAGAAATAAAGAAAGACTTCTGAGACTTTGATTGCATGTATATCTGATCAGTAAAGGAAGAAGCTGTTAGTGGGTGTAAACAAAGAATGGTGTGATCACCTCAGCAGTGTGACTGGTGGCATTGCACCAATATGCAAGAAGAATCTGCAGGTGCCAATGTGTACAGTGTGACTTAAGTCTTTGAAAAGACCTTATCATTTACTATGCTGGAGTTCAGATGTGCCATGGCTGCTTCATTCCCCAAATCTGTAATTTTAATAAACTGTATTGAAAAGGAAATGGAGTCATGCATGACATAATCTGTATTTGGTGTTTCCATGCTTAATCCTGTTATCACAATATTGTTTTTGAGCTACTAACAAGTAACCTGCTTTAGTAATCCTTTCTAGAACTTTGTTTAAAATCATATAATTCTCCTTGTTAACAAAATAACGTAGAACTTAATATAATTGAGTTGAACTGTTAACTCAATTGATTGACTTGTCTTCTCTTTGCCATCTGTTAACTTGTACTACCATCTACTGCAAGCAGTGATTCTCTTCTTTAGGCTGCCCATTCTTGCTTGAAAATGTTTTACTTTAACATTTTTCTTCTAATCCTCATTTCTGGATCTGTCTAAACCCATGAAATGACTTTAATGACAGGATTTTAAGGCAATTCAAAAGTAGAAATAAGAGAAAGCAAGAAGAGAGCCCTTGAATCAAAAAAGGCCAAGACCTGAAGAATGGTAGCAGTACTTCTTAGAGGAAAGTAATCCTGGCTGGAAGCACACATGGAGAGAGGACTGCAAGTCTGGGATCTTTTCAGGGCATCTTGTCCTTGGAGAACTAGGACCCTGCCTAGGTAGGCAGATATGCTACCTGTAGGAGTTTAGAGATTTATCCTACCATCAGTAGAGACGTGGACAAATTTGCAAGCTGGAAAGATTACCCTTGAGGTAATATGGAGCATGAGGTTGGGGAGGAGAGACCGAAGAAAAACGGTGTCATGACAGAAGCTGCTTCAGTAATACTATCCAGCACAGATGAATGCCTGAACTGGACTATTGGCAAGGAGAATGGACAAGTAGAGAGCAAGGAAATGGGGTATCGCTTCATGTTAATCACCGTGTTTCTTGACATATGTACTAATATTACTGCGATGTTTTTTCTGAAAATCTAAGTTGGTTATACATAACCGTTACATTGTGCCAGTCAGTATGACTGCATTTTTTTTTTATGGCACTGGTGTTTGGACCCAGGGCCTTCTACTTGTGCATTATCCCACATAAGCCACATTTCCTGTGTTTCTCGGAGCACAGGTATGCACCACCAAGCCTGGCTTGTTTCTTGAGATTGGGTCTCACTAGCTTTTTGCCTGGGCTGGCCTTGAGCATGATCCTTCCACTCTCTGCCTCCCAAGTAGCTTGGATTACAGATACCAGCCACCATGCTTGGACAAATTTTATGTAGACATATGAAACTGTTCATCTTCATCTTGGTGAACAGTTTTTTTTGTTTTTGTTTTTGTTTTTTTGGAGAAAGGGGAAAGATAAGCAGCAAATCCTGAGTCCATGAGTTTTACAACTTCAAAATGATTTCAGGGAAAAAAATAAATATTGGTATTTGTGCACATAAGATAGAGTAGATTTGGCAAAGTGTTAAGCAGTTTAATAAAAACTGAAGAAATAAAAAGAAAACACAGTGAACTACATTTGAGCATGCTGAAGAGTTTCCTTCAGCATGCTCAAATGTATATGCCCAATATTCCACTACTGTTTGAATAAATCAGTAGTAGCAGGGAAGGCTCTCTTAAGGAAATACTGTTTAGGTGGTGCAGGACAAAAGAAACTTTCAGTAGGGAGAAAAGAGAATAAAGCTTACCAAGATGCAGAGTGACCATTTTGAAATAGGGAAATGTAGGCCTTTTCTCCCTATCAGAAATATACACCCTCTCTTCCTAGGAATTAGATTAATGTAGATATATTAAAATAACAAGACACCTGAAGTTATAATACATATATGAATAAAAATTAACAGGAAGTAACCATATTAATATTTCTTAAGAGTGTGCTCCTTTAAGTCATTCTGCTTCAGAAAAGATACTAGAGTTCAAATACAGGTAGAAATTAGACAGTTTTAGTATCTTGAATACTAAATACATTGACTTCCTTACCATATTTCTAGATCCAGGGTTAAAGGCACCTTTTTTTTTTTTTTTTGAGAGATTCTGTGAAGTAACCAATAAAGGCAAAAATATTTAAATATATGCATACACACACTTGTATATCAGGGCAATTGTATTGTTTGCTTGTGAAAATACTCAAAAGCATTTCTTTCTTTCTTTTTTTTTTTTCTTTTTTTCCATTTATTCACACATGCATACATTGTTTGGGTCATTTCTCCACCCTGCCTCCCCCTCCCCACTCCGTTCCAGGCAGGTCCTGTTCTGCCCTTATCATTAATTTTGTTGAAGAAATGACATAAACATAAT